TAACCAATGGGTATATAATCATATTCAACAATAATCAAAAGTTGAACGTTTTGCTCTGTATAGCATGATATAGTAGATGACAGAGATCAGTATATAATCTCTTCTCTCTTCAAATACCATGTTCCGTTCTATTCTACATTCACATACGTACTTTGTATACAGTACACGCACTCATACTACGACGAAAAGTTGAAAAACGCGATTTTAAAACAAGCGTTGCTAGCACACGTTTCTCCAACTTTGGTCGATATTATGTTTGCCCGGATGCGGTTCTCGTTTATGCTAGAATATAGCTTAATAGCTTCTGTTTACAAGAGGCGGAGTAGTCTTTATATACAAATGCCGCAAAACTAATTTATGAATGTAGATCATCGTAGAGCACTATCAGGCGGCTAAATTTGAAGTATCATAGTTGCAGATGAGCTACTCGTATCTGACAATGAGGAAAGAACTCTCTTCTTAGTGTTAGCAAGTACAAATGATAGATGCTTCCATACATAAATATAATGGATGCATGGTGTTGCCATGGAACACTACATTCATGAAATATGCGCCTCGAAATAAACATATACTATGGTCCCAAGTACGTGAATTAGTGTATTAGATGCGTTTTCAACAACGTTGGATTACAAGTTTGACATGCCCCTTCGTTGACGCTGGAACAGTTTCAATTTATAGGGGTCACAAAATAACGAGGGGTATCGCACGGAGATAGTTCAAGTTTAAAGCAGGCACGGCAAAAATACGTAAATAAAAAACTTGGGCGCTGAAATGCTAAATGTTAAGTTAATAGAAAAACAGTCTCAAGCAAATGCAACTTTTTTTTAGTTTGAGACAACATTTAAACATTTTTTAAGAATTTAAATTTAGAAAATTCCAATATTTATAAAATAACTAAGGAAGTCAGATCTATTTTAATTTACTAAACATTAAAATCTCATTGAAATTTGAAATAAAATTGAAAATTTTCAAAATATTGAGTTTTTTTTAGAGTTTGCAATTATATATTTTAAAGTACTTGAAATTTTACACTCGCAGATTTCAAACGGTTTAATTATTAAGGTACCCTAGGGCAAGTTATAGTAATCGCAAAAAAATCGAAAATAATAGATTTTATTTTTACATACATGTATACGTTACAAGCTTCCTGAATAATTCGGCATACCTTAAAAAAAATGATGAATTTGTGTGCGTGTGTGTATATTGGCAAAGGCGGGTCCAACAAAAAGGGCAAAAATTAACCGTTTTTGAGATAATGAAGCATTTGATTAGAATGATAAAAAAATTTGATTGCTATTGGTGGGGACATGTGCTGATTAGTTTTTGGAAAAGGCATTCGCAGCTATAGCAATATATTTTGTAGATACGAAGCGAAAAGTGCAATAAATAGATATTTTTGGAGAATGAAGCATCCGATTAGAATGATTCAATAAACATTCGATTCGTATGGTAGGGAGACATGCAAGCTAGTTTTCAAAATTAATATTATTTTATAAAATTATATTATACTAGCTGTACCCCTTCACGCTTTGCCGTGATTTAGTTCAAATTAAAAAGTTGAACAAAGATGTTCAAAAATTTACCTATTCAACAATTTGTCTACTAATTTACCTATAAACCCGTTTATCAATCTACCATTTTACCGGCCTACAAATTTATTTGTCATTCCATTCTACATGTTTACCAATCAACCTGTCAGCCTGTTTATTCGTCTACATATTCGCCTATCTACCAGTTTTTCTCTCTACCATTTTACCCGTCCATCAGTTTACCTTTATAAATTCTCTAATTCACCTTATTTATTGACGCATTATAAAACAATAAAACTCAATTAATTCTACTTAAGAATCATCCTGGGACATCAACTAACATTTAAAAAAAAGAATTGGCCATATTGGTCCAGGCGTTATTGAGTTATGCGCTTATCAACACATTTTGCGATTCATTTTTTATTTATAGATAATATTTCAAAATTAATATTTTATTCGAATTTTGATATTCAAAAATATACAAAATTTTGAATTGCAAAAAATCTAAAACTTATTTAATATACTTGAAATTCATTCATTGATCAATTTTTGATTATTTTTATTCCTCGAATATTCAATTACAGTAGCAATTTGCTTTAAGGCACAATGCCATGCACCACTAGTTTTTATCTTTATCTATAATATGCGTTTGAAACGGAAATTTCAATCAATTTGCTTAAGATCGGAATTTTATACGCCATTAGCAATTCAATTACTTTGATACCATTTTGTCAATTGGTTGCAATTGGAATTGAATAAATAAATATATAACTTGAACCAGCTCTTGGCAACCGTTGACGTCAACAGAATGCGACAGACAGAGCGCGAGCACAAGCTATATGTTTTCTCTCACGTTCTGTTTTGATGCTCCACAGGGCATAGTAGCGTGCGCGGCTGGTTTTGCTGACGCCTTGGGACAGGGCCAATGCACGAAGGGGGCCATACTGCGGGCTGGCATACTGGAAATGATTCGCTTCATTGATGTGTTTCACCCGCAGAGTCGTCTCTCCACGTTCTTCGAATCGTGCGGACTTGCCGATCTGGTATCGTCGTGCAATAGTACGTACAACCCTAAGCTATTTTACCTTTTTCTAAATAAATGGTTTAGAGAATAAATAGAATATGAGTATAGGGTAACTGATTATTGAATACGTTTTATTATTTGCATTATCACAATAATTGTGTAGGTAAAATTTTGGTAAAGTGTGAGTCCAAACCGTTCGCTTTTAATATAAAAACTTTGCTTTCTGGAGAGATATTCGAGATATGGCACATACTTAGATACTTTCACTTGAAATTAAAAAAAGCATTATTAGACACCGCTTGTACAAATTCTTTTAAGAACTATTTCTTAACAAATTGAATAGACAGTTTGAATAGACCCTTGGCATCTATTTCTCATCTGCAGATAAAATGCATCATGATTCCAAATAATTCTTCTAATGATGATCAACAGTGATTATTTTCATTTTGTTTAAAGATTAAATAGTTTCATTAATTATAGTTAAAGAAAATAGTTATGGCCATGTTTGCTTCGTAAGTCTGGTGAAATAAGTTTTGTTTTCCATATGTTAAATTAGTTTATGCACTAACAGTTTTATCTATAAGCATTTATACTTATACTATAAAAAGTATATTTAAGCAATACTAGACGTCATAATGAATAGACGTGGTTTGAATAGACTTATCGGCATCTGTTTCTCATCAATATTCAAAATTAAAAAAAAAAAAAAAAAAATGAATAATGATTTTAAATTAATCCTCTAATCATTATCTCAGTGATTATTTTGAGTTTCAGTAATTAAATTCAATACAATTAGTTATAGCAATGTTTACTTTACAAGTCTAGTGCAATAGAAACCAACATCAGTATTGTGTAGTTTATGTTAGCACGTTAAAACAGTACAGAAATATATAGCTCTTCCGCTTGAAATTATGTAAAGTAAATTCGGTTTCAACAGTTATATCTTGAACATATCTAATGTCTGCGATTTTTCTCTATTGTTCTCTATATTTATGTAGCCCTAACTACTACGATACGATAATGATCGCAGCCGTCTCACTACCTTCGGTTCTAAATTCGTGACCGTTCTCTGCTTTCGTTTGTGAAGATTTCTTGTTTCCATACTACTCTTCACATGTTGAAGCATAGAAGTTTGTATTTTCTTGTCTCACAGCCAGGGGAGTTAACTCAGCCCTCGGAAAGTTTTAAACTTTTATTGATCGCCGGCTTTTATTGATATTGGATATATTAAAACAAAAATCCTATTTGCTAATTATATGTTTTCTCGACGTTTCTAGTCATTCTAAATCGAATGAGACCAAATATGGAAAGTATGTATGAATATGTGTGCATAGAGCCTTTTCTACTTTTCGTCAACGTTTCCTTAAAAACGGCTGGATTAATTTCAAAAATTTAAAAGCCATTCGATGTATCTCGATAAGGACTATCGTTAGTCAGCGACGATAATGGGCTAAGCCGTTTCTTTGTAATTAGAAGAAAAGTCAAACCGCAATTTTGAATCGATTTTAGAATCGAATAAAGTTTTTGGTAAAGATCGTCCTTTAATGTTGAAAAAATTTTGCTTGGTAATTTTGGATGAAACTTTGTATAACGATAGATTTCGTATTCTGAAATAACGTACTAAAATATTATAGGTTTACGATAGTCAGTTGTTAATTATTGTTGATTAAGTCGATTATTACATGTATCGGAAAGTTGTTGTAACTTACCCTAAGCCAAAATGCTACTGATTATTTTATTTGCTGGAATAGTTGGTCGCCACAGGCGTCTTTCTGAAGAATTTGCCAGAACTGGTAAGACAGTAGAAGAACTGGAGCAGGAATTACTGCATGGAAATCGGCTACAAGGCCCCCATATCGCCAGAGAAACTTATAATGCAATTGTTCACGAAGATTGTGTTAACAGGTAAAAGTTGTAAACTATAAAAGCATACAAAATTATTGTTATTGGTTCTGTGTTTTTATATAAAAAACTTAGCTTTTAGTGTATACGATAAAGGAAAATTGAAAATATATCTGCATATATTGAATAGTGAATATTAAAACAACATTTTCGTTTTTTTGGTTCAACTTACTAACATATTACAAATGTATAAGTGAAAATAAATTAAAAATCATAAATCTGTAAATTGTAAAAACCAAAAATATTAATATTATTACTTGTTCCAGAATTTAATTTTTTTAGAAAAATTATATTTTTCAAAAAATTAAAAAAATATTTTCCAAATTGTTCAAAAATTTCAATTTTTTTTAAGTTCAAAAATATGAATACAGTCTCAGACAATTTCTTAAAAATTATAAAAAATATTATTTTCATACTGCATATTATAAAATGTATAAGTAGAAACTAATTAAAATTCATAAATCCGTTAACTTTTAAAATTGATTATATGTTCCAGAATTTAAATTTTTCAAAAAAATATATATTTTTCATAAATAAAAAAAAATGTTTTTCTTGTACTGCAGAAAATATCAGTTTATTTCAAGTTCAAAATAATGAACACAGTTATTTGTTCAGTATATGTTATTCTAATTTAATTTCTTCATATATATAATTTAACACATCATTTTATTCTGAAAATTTCAATGCGTTTTAGATGTTTCTATAATATGCTATATTTTGCTCTCTAATCGACTTGAATAAGTTACTACAACAGCAAATTCAAGAGATATGATATAATCTATTTCAGTTTTCCATTATTTGTGACAGTCCATAAAATTTTCGAAAAGGAACTCCTTCCAGATGAAATTTTGAGAAGTATTGCTAGCCGCACTGAACATATGTGAGTAAAATAAATTATTCAAATGTATTGAAATCAGCATTTCAGTTTTGAATTCTAAATATGTTGCAGATTTGCGCCACGTCATATCGCCATGTTTTGAATAACAACAAAAGACTACGATATGCGATTAGCTGAATTCGTAATTTTATTTTTATTATTCATAGAATGCTTATATTTAATACACACAAAGCTATTTTGAATAAACATTCGCAGCAGTATTTTATTTAAATTTTAATCGTATTATTTTAGTATAATGAATACTATTTAAATTTCAAGAATATGCAAGTATTGTTTATAGATCGGAAAACCTCTAATACTTCTAACATATGAAAAGTTTAAAATTCAATTACCCACTGTAAAACAATGAGTAAAATTTACATTATTTTCTGATTATTATTGTAAATTTTTAACTTGTAAAAAAACTGGAAATTATACAAATTCAAGAAAAAAATATTTTCAAAACTTGATATTTTGAACATATAAGAAAATTATTAACTTATTTACAAATTAAATTTAAGTTAGTTAGGAACGATTAATAAAATAGTTAATTTATTTTAAATTTTATAGTCAAGTTATAAATTATTTTATTCATTAGCTCGAAACTATGAATATCATTATAAGTAAAATTATAATGAATTTCTAATTTCTGAAAAACAACAGTACATGTGAATTGTTAAAAATGTTAATTGCTAAAGGCGAGCTGAGCCTTGTTTGATAAACTTCTCAGGTTCAAACAATATAACTCATTGTATTATCTTTTATAAGTTTTGGTGAATGTTTAATTTAATTTTTAATGACTGTTTGGTTTTAAACGATTTTTAATTTCCACATTTAAAAAATAAAAAATGAATTTTTACAAGTCTTAAACTAAGTGGTACATAGCATCATTCCTTAATGTAAATTCTTGGAACTTCCCAAATCGTAATTTAAGATATCAAAAATATTGTAAAGTTTTTTCTGAAAATCATAATTATTTTTTAACATTTTTGATTTTTTTGAAAATTTTGGAAAAAATCGATTTTAATTTTTTTTTTTGAAAATTTTGTATTTTTTGAAAAGAGTTTGAAAGGAATTGGATACAAAATTTGTCCTTATTATTAAAATCTCTATAAAATATCTGATAATTAGATGTGCATATATCAAATGATCAATCTTGACAGCCAAATAATTTTTTTAACTTCTTCTATAACTGATAGACCTGCACTTCGTCATGGAAATCGGACGCTACGTCTTCTCAGAAACTGAATTGCCATTTTGACACTTTTTGCTTCGTATCTTCAAAACGGCTCGATATGCCTTGGTCAAAAACTAATAAGCACGTTTCTCCAACAATAGGAATGAACTATTTTTTTTTGAATCAATAAAATTGGCATATATAAACACATGCATACATACATCCGCTTTTGTTCTAAGATAAGCCAAAATGCTCAGAAGGTTTTAAAGCGTAAAGATATACAGACATTTTCATTTTCGATTTTTTTGAGATTACAATAACTTAACTAAGGGGAAATTAAAAACAAGTTTTATTATAAATAGTTTTGCAATTCGAATTACTGCAATACACAAATAATGATATATTGTTTAAGATTTATACTAAACTAGTGATGTATGGCATCGTGTTTTATGGCAAATTGCTGGTACTTCCCATACCGTAACGAAATGTTCGAGGCATATTAAATGTTTTCAAATAGATTATTATAAATGTTGTAACATTGTCTAATATTTATAAGAATTATAAAAACTGAATTGCAAAGATAAATTTATAATTTGTTTAAAAGATATTAGAACTTTAGTCAGAATTAAAATTAAATTCTGAATTATTTTCGATATACAAAGAAAATTTTTTTAAAAAATTGAAACAATTTTTTTTTTAAAGCGATGATTTTGTTAAAACAAGCAGAAAGTTCTTTGAATTATTCAAATCGGACGCTTAGTTCTCACAAAAACTGCCATTTTTTGCACATTTAGCTCTGTATCTTCGAAATGGCTGGGCCTGCATTTGCCAAAAACTAATCATTACTTCGCTCAATCATTACTAATTTAATGTTTTCTGGATCATTCAAATCGGATACTCCGTTCTCTCAAAAACTCGATTTGTATTTTCTGCACTCTTTGCTCTGTATTTCCGTAACGGCTGGACCTGCCTTTGCCAAAAACTAATCAGCACATCTCCCTATCAATAGGAATCGAATGTTTTTTGAACCATTTAAATCGGTTGATCCGTGCGCCCGAAAACGTCGACGAAAAAATGCCGACATACAAAACACACACATCCATATTTTCTGAGGTATGACAAAATGTTCAGAAACCTTCAAAACGTGAAGATATGCAAAAAAAATATTTTTGATTTTTGGCCCATTACTGTTACTACCCTACAGGAAGTTAAAAAAAACATTTAGCCAAATATAAATATTTTAATATAACCAGTTAAATACGGTAATTTTATTGAAATATTTATATTTTTTACAAAGTATTAACCGAATACATCGATATTCAGTTAATACCCAAACCAAATTTATCGGTTGATATTTATGTAATAATTTTATAGCATTATTAATTTCAAAAATCTACCAAAATTACCTGTAAAAATAATATTTACATTCTTTTAGTTAAAGTGATGGAATGGTTTCAGTTCCATTATTTACATATATAGCATAACTTATAAATAAGTAAATAATCGAAATGCCTCATGCTTAAACAAACAAAAAATTCAACAGCAAGAACGTTAAGCATAATATCTTAATGCTAATTACACCAAAATGCTTTTATCCGTTTCTAACACGAAGATAATTTATTTTTATACATAAAAAGTTTACATTCTTTCACCTAATCGCTGGCAGTGATAAAACATACAATTCTGTAATATCATTGTCGTTGTATGCGTGCTGTGTAGAGCTGTTCAGAATTACAAGGCCGGTATTTCCACGGTACGAGAGTTTAAATGTATTTATGTTTATATCTAGTCCCCCCCATATAACTGCACGCTCGTCGTGTATACTGTATACCGCAGCCGGCAACACACTTTCAGAGATCGGGCGAAACCATTCCGCAGGCGAGGGGAGTCCGCACCGTTATAACTTTCCGAGTTATCGTTCGATAAAGGCGAAGCTTTCGTTCTTTGACAACGAAGCAGACATACCCACGAGTGTACTCTGGAATAGGGATTTTAACATTCAGCTTTAATACAATGCAGGTCGTTCAACCGGATGTCGGTTGATGGTATTAATTACATTAATTTATATTCATGGTTAGATATAGTAGTCGAGCAGTAAAAGAAACTGTATACAAATTTAATACTATTTTAATTCTTAATATTATTCTTATTTAATACTATTTGAATTCTTCAGTTTTTTTACTAATTATGCTAATCACTAATTCTGAAACATTAGGCTAATGAAGTACTTGCTTAATGTAAATTATTATTTTTGGAAAATTTCATAAATAACGTTCATTATGCTAATTGTTTTCAAGGCTTTTTGATACAATATAAATTGCAGAAATAAATATTATTAATTTCCCGTAGAGTAGTTATAATAATAGCAAGAAATCGAAAATGAAATTTTTTGTATATCTTGTTGTGCCTCATCCAGCAACGGAGCCAACAAAATGTAGGTTCTTCCTGCTGCTAAGTATCAAGCTGGTACCAAACTGTGAAAGCGAATCAGTGAAACAGATGAAGACTTTTGATGTTTACACTTTACATATAACTTGAACACTGAACTTAAATATAATTCCATTGATTGCAATGGTATGACGCAATCATTTTCTAGAATGTTCGTTATATGTGAGTCAGAAACTACGCTTTACTTAATCGTAAGGCACAGTTTGTGGTTTCAAAAGGAATTTTATCAACACTTGCAAGGTTACTGCAAGCTTACAATAGCTATGAGTAATACTAACTGCGTTGTTCATATTCTGGCCGTTATATTGTAATTTATAATATTATTTATAATTATTACAAAGGGGTGGATACCACTACAATCTTTACGTTTCAAATGTTTCTGAACATTTTGACATACTTTAGTAAAAATTGATGTATGTGCGTGTGTGTCAATGTATGTATGTGCGGATACAATTTTCCGTCGACGATTTCGTGAGCACGAATCAACCGATTTGAATGATTCAAAACACATTCGATTCCTATTGATGGAGAGACGTGCTGATTAGTTTTTAGCAAAGTCAGGTCCGGCCATTTCGAAGTTACAGGGCAAAAAGTGCCAATAATAGTAATTCAATTTTTGAGAGAGCGGAATGTTCGATTTGAATGATTCAAATAATGTTTTACTTGTATTGACGAAATGAAGAACTCTTTGAATTTTTGGGAAGGCAGGTCCAGCCGTACAAATTTTATTTAGATTTCCATGGGTTCCGTACCAAGATTTATAATTTTAACCGTAAGACTACAACGCGGCGCTTACGCCCTTTGATATTATCCTCTAAAATAGCTACATCGGACAATTGCTTTGAAAAAAACATCTGTTTTCAAAAAATTTCAAAGTAAAATAAAAATTGAAAAAAGTCAATTTGTTTCAAAATATTCTCAAAAACCTAATATTTTCAGTTTTCAAAAAAATTTAAAGATTTTAAAAAGTTTAAATTACGGTATGAGAAGTTCCAGCAATTTGCTCTAAGGCACGATGTCATGGCACCACTAGTTTCTAATTCAATTCGACATATTTTGTAAAAAGTCATGATGCTATTGTGTTATATTGTGCGGCGTGAGAAATGTATTCAAGTTATAAAGTTATAGTTGCTATTGCTATTATCTTTTGTTCATCAGTTATAATCTTATATACTTGTTATCTAGAATAATATTTTAATTTATACATACATTTCAAATTAATCTATGCATCTCTAATTATGCGTCAAAATATAACAATAGTAAAACCCGGTTAAGACGATTTTTAAGAAATAGGAATAAAAACGCTTCTTAAGCGTGATAGGGACGTATGTTTTAAAATGCAGTGAGCGGCTTAAAGTCGCGTAATACGCGAGAAATCGTATTAAGCATGATCGTCTTAACGGGGTTCAACTGTATTTATAAATAAACCGTAACTTTAATGAGTTAGATTATTGTACTTAAATTAGAAATACTTTGTATCTTAAATTAGTTTATGTAAGTAATTTTTCTCTTAGTTTTTAGCCATAACCAAACCACGATTTTTTTTTAAAAAAAAAACCTATTTTCTAATTGTTGTTTCAGATAAATCTAAGAGAGTTATTTATCAGTTAATCATTCAAGATTCGGCAATATAAGCTATAGTTCCCACTGGCATTATTATTATATCTGTAGCCTGTAACGAGAACGTAGAATATTATACGTCGAGCGGGCCTCCCCTCGCACACAACATTGGTTTGGCCCATGCTTCATCATTCCGGCACACTGCGTATTAAACTATACCAACACTGACGTCAATTATTGAATATGTGTTGATGTTATTGCATTATTATTTGTGAATATATTCACGTATTGTTAATTGCGTGTTTTTGTGGAAACTTTGGAAATTGTTCAAGGCAATGAGGTTAGTACTTGCAAACTCAAATTATTATTATAGAGCGATAAGATAAATGACAGTAGTAGGCGAAATGATTGATATTATTTTAGGTTAATCTACATTAGCGCTGAATATTTTGATAGCATAAGCATTAGAAGTTAGTCGTATTATCTGTATAAATATATGATAAATTTTATCATATGACTAATAGATTAAATATAAAGAATAAAACGTAATTTTTGAATAAACAATACCCTTAAAAATCTATTATCATTTTGATGATAATTCAGTTATAGTTCTTTTAAAACTATATATAAAGGCCAAATCTACGATACAATAGACCGTAACATAGCATTGTAATGGTAACGCTATGTTACGCTTCTTTCTTCATATAAATTTGCAGTAAAAACTGGCCTAATAAAACCTAACCTAGAAAACGCAGAAAAATGTTATTACAACTGCCTCTTTCTGATGAGTCATGATAACACATACGTGAACTAAGGTCTGATCGCATAGCAAATACATAGCATTTTGACAGTTTGTTTTTGAAATTATATGCAAAAAAAAGATCTTATACATGTATTATAAGGTCTATGAAAAATGAGTCATAACAACGCTATGTTACTGTCTATTTTATTGGAGAATTGGCCCCATAGTTTATAGATTATACGCGTGTAAATAATTTTGATAAGAAAAAAGGAGTGCGCGTAAGGTTCACACGCGATTGAAGTAAAACTTATTTGCTACTGTTCAAGATGGCATTTGAGTAAAAATAAATACATCATATAACAATTTTGAATAATGTTTATTAATAATATGGTAACACTCGTGATGCACATATTTATTAGTGTCAACTATTATACACATTAATATAATGATAAATTATAAATAATATATTTAAAATAGCATTAAAAATATGTATAATATTTAAAAACAATAATGATTATGTTAAACAACGCCTTAAAAATATTGTTTTCGCAACTTTACCCATCATGCAATTGTGTTTGAAGAACTTCATGTAACTAAAATTAACATACATTCATTGACTGCTTGTATTTTTGTTTATATAATCTGATTATTTGAACAGCTGTAATATCTGTTTTGCCTAAAAAATATTTTCCATTTTAATAACTTCAAAGATTTATAGAAATTATGAATAATATAGAAATAATTTCGAAGGAACAGGGCAAAATATTAAGGAACAGTGTAAAATATTCTTCTGATTCATTTTTCATTAAATAAACATTTGTACTACGATGTAACTTTAAAATGTTTATTTATATATGCTGATTTGCTTGTTGATATCGGTACGCATACAACGTTGACGCCGGTGCGCACAACTCTATTAACACATCTCTATTCACATACGCGACGACTAATCACAATCGACCCGTATAGAAATAATTTCATCGAGAGCGAATGACGAATCATTGGCACTCGATTCTTATTTTATATGCCGTAACGCACTTCCGTTGCATTTGCACGGATTTACACCCTAGTCGCGCCTAAAAAAGTTTTACTTAAAAAAAAATTATAAATATTTTCTACGTTTCGTGGATACGGAATGACTCCTTCTTCAGGTACTTTAAACTATTGGAAATTCAGTTCAATTATTTTAGTTTGAAAAATAAAATCATTAAAAAATATATAATTTTATAAAACTTTGTTGTTATAGTAAATACTTTTAGATTTAAAGGTACTTTCTATAAATATACTATATTATAATTTACTTATATTATAACCCAGTTAATATCTGTACTGCGTATTTGTATAACATGTATATTCCGCATTGTAAATAATTCATTAGTAGGTCGTCGCATTATAGGTCAGGTATTAGTCATGAAAGTTATACCTATACCAATAACAAATTACATAAATCCATCATGAATAACGTAAGCCTCTCACAAAAGAATTTTGCTTTTGTATAGCGATTGCAACAGAACAGACTATAGATCTTCTGATTCTCCAGTATATTGAAATTGGGTGGGGATAGGAATTCCATCCGGGACAGTGGCCGCATCCGTCCTCTTCTGAGGATCAATACCGCTTGCACAACATTTTCTATTTGCTTTTACGTACTTTTTACGAAAGTAAACGTTGATAATATTGGTGTTCAAAGTTGTAGCATTTGAGTCGACATATAGATACCGGTTATAGAAACTGTAGAGAAAAGAGAACATTTAAAGACATTATAAAGTTAGTAATATATACAGGTAGATAGATAGATATTACACTTTTTTATTCGACGTTGAAATATGTATATTCTTGAAATGCTTATTTGCAGCCAAATAGTCTAAATAAAAATCAATAAATAATTAACTATTTATTATGTACGTTTCGACACTGTGTGTGTCATCATGCAAGTTCTAAACAATATTTTACAAAGTTTATAATATTACAAGATTACTAGAAGATATAACAAATATAAAAAATATCAACTCATACCAAACCATGAAAAAACATAAAAATTTAATGACATTGTTGAATGGAAAAAAACAAAGCAATAAAATAAAACTACAAACTAAAAGTTAAACGTTAAAATTATGTAGTTAATACATAGACATTACACTACATGGACTGCTAGTTCTCATATGTTTACCGCTGTATATAGTGCTCAAACATAGAAGGGTATGTGACGTCACATGTCTGAACGAATATTGCCGACGACAATCGCGGACTCTCCCGATTATTAATAACACTTCTTATTATTAATACCATTAATAACAAGTCATATTATTAATATCATTTCTTATAAAATTATTAGCCATAATAATTGCCATTATATTATTGTAATAAAAGTATCACAAATAATATTTAAATTAAATTAACTATTATGATAAATATTATTGAATATTATTAATAACATTTTTTAGGAATTGCCATTATATTATTAAAATAAAACATATGACATATGACATTTAATCAATAGGAGAGTCCGCGATTGTCGTCGGCAATATTCGCAGACATGTGACGTCCATAGACTTTATATTACAGGGACTCGGGCTGCCATACATTTCTCAGGTAAAAAATGTCAGAAGATGTTCTCTGTTAGGAGGGTAAATGTGCCGTCGAGAAATGTCAAGATAGATTAAATAAATGAATACGAACACGAGCGTTGCCGAGAACAGTCGAATGCTCTCGCAACAGAGAACACCTTTTTACATTTTGTATGCGTTCGACTAGCAGTCCATGTAATATAAGGTCTATGACTAATTCACATGATCAACAAATTGTAAATGGAAAACGAAATGCAAGGTCATGCCTTATAGAAACAACGGGGTTCACAAACGCTGATCCAGGGACGAATGCTTTGGAATACTAGCTGGTTGTGGTGATTCAAGGGTGGGAAAAAGACAAACAAAAATATAACAAAGTACATATTAAAAAATTAAAATTAAAAACGAAAAATATAAAAATGTAAAAAGTAATACGAGAATTTGTTAACGTGCTGAATGATGCACATACACAGGGTGGAAAGCTACATACTAAATAGTTAATTATTTATTGCTTTTTGCGTTGACTATTTGTCTGCAAATAAGTATTTCAAGAATATATATGTATGTATTTGTATACACTATTTGGCTTTAATAATAACATATATCTCTAACGGCGAAATTAGTTCAAATAAATAATATTTTATTTTAAAAAATATAATTATTAAGGTTATTTAAAAGAATATAATTATTTATATGTGCTAACATTAGATATGTTTCATTCAGCTAAAATAAAATGTTATAAAACATTGTATAAATACAAATAAATTATTATTATTATTGAGAATCATATTAGGATAGGAATATTGATCGTCGTTTATTTTCAATAAATATAACATATGACTACTAACACATGTTTAATAATAATCTTTCAAATCTCTAAAAATAATTTTCTATACTACACCAAGTTTTTCTGACAACGACTCATCGCCATAATTCATTGTCGTCGATATAGTTATATTTTACTTATGTTTCTGAAACAGTTTGTGCAACTTCTGTGTCGTTATATTGTGCAAATAGCATAAAATATTTTAGAATTGTATGGGTGAAACTGTATGTGTTATATGATTGAAAAAGGAAAAGTCTGCATTATAGTCAGCTCGCATAAGAACGAGAAAGGAGAATTTACTACAGACGACGTTGAAACTACAGACTTTAGGCCTGTATATGTTAAATTTTTGTATATAATAAGTTAACAGTTTCAAGTAGAACAAATAAAACTGTTATATTTCTACTGCATCATTCACTATTTTATGATCTCGTTTATTAATGCTGTTATGATTGCTCATGAATTTGATGTTATATACTAATGGTTATAATTTTGGTAATTAGCTTCACGTGTGAAAAGGTAAATACACGATCTCGTGATCCTTATGGCAGTCCTTAGCTAAATTGGATGTATGTATGTTCATATACAATTGTTGATCTATACTTTACAGAAACGGATCTACTGAACCAATTAGAATTAACATTTTATTTGCATTTGCGGTGTGAAGTAAAATTGCCAAAAATGGTTGCTTTGTAAGAAATAAATGTGCACATTAAAAGATTTTTTTGTTCTGATAATAGGAAGTATATTTTAATTTAATTTTTTTACAAAAGATTTGTTTAAATCTAATATTCATAATTTCAATATTTAAAAATATTTATAAAATTCAATCAAAAGCTTTTTTTTTTCAAATCGTCCCGGATTCGATACCCATTTCGAGTCTGATGTCGAGCAGTAGAGACATTTTTATAGTGATAGGTTTATAGATTTTTATAGTGAGTTTTATAGGTT